TTTGTACACTCTGCAGTTCTGTAAATCAACCTAGTTAAATTAGATTTAGCGCCATAGGTACAATTTGTTTTCTGTATTGTCGCCACGGGTCCGATTCGTGAACATCTCTAGATTTTAATCATAATAACTTGGTCGAATTCTGTGATAAATACCTAACGCACTACGTTGTTTCTTTATTTTGTTTCAAGTTCACAATTGAGTTTTGTCTTGCATGTCAATAATTTATTATAATTTTCATTAGCAGCTCTGGAAGGCAGTTTACGGTTCTACGTTGTGTGAGTACCTATTGTTTTGTATTTCTAATTTATATACATTATTGCCGTGTTTACTGTCTCCCGAGGACTTAAAACACTGCTTGTGAATAAAAAGAATCATAATTTATATTTGGTTGCTTATTACTTAATATTTACCCGGAGTTGAGCAGAGTTATATGGGATCAACACCATTTTTAATTAATCTAGTTGGCAAAATGGCCAATCGTCTAGCTTTGATCTTTATTGTGTTAGCTTCTTACCTATAAGTCATGCTTGTAATTTGTCAATTATAGAGTTTTGAAGCTGTATAATATGTTCAAAATTAAACCTGAAAATGACGATGCAGAAGAATACTCTGTTGAATAAACGTTCGGAGTCGTTGAACCAAAACCGTTAGATGTGCTGTTCAAAACCATTGAAATATCTACAACAGAGGAGTATTTGGTTAAGAATGAAGTCGATGATACTTATGAGTAAGGCGATTTTATTACCATTTTTTTTATCTTGAACAAAATTATTAAAACTTGTGCCTGATGGTATCAATATAAGAGTTTCACTAAGATTTAACTTATATTGGGAACCACTTGTTCATTTAATAATAGATTGATTGTTTTAAAACTACATCTACCTCTTATCAATACAAAAATCCATTAAAATATTAAAAAAAAAAAAAAAATTGTAAACATTTAATTTGTGGGTATGTTGTCTGCAGCACCACATTATGTTAGCGTAAGTTTTGTACGATACTTACCGAGTTAGTTATATAAATATATAGAAAACATTTTTACAATTATTTTTCATTTTTTTATTAAGTTAAAAAAAATGCGAATAAATGTCATTTTTTATTACAAAAACTATATATTAAAATTCATGTTTTTTTACTATCAGAAATTTCATTTATGTTAAATAGACATTTTTTATGAATAGATCAGGCTATCTAATTTTTTTAAAATTTATAATATGATTAATCTTCGAGTTTAGAATGTAAACTAAATTATCTTTACTATATCATTATTAGACTATATTTGTTACTAAATAAAATAATTAAAATTGTGCAATTTAGTTGTCCAAATAAACCTCTTTGCATATATGGCACAGAAATACAACTAATGTTAAATGTCAATTATAGAGTTTTGAAGCGGTATAATATATTAAAAATTAAACCTGAAAATGACGATGCAGAAGAATGCTCCTTTGAAAAATCTAAACCGTTAGATGTGCTGTTCATAAACAATTCAATTTCTACAACAGAGGAGAATTTGGTAAAGAATGAAGTCGACAATACTTATGGGTAAGGTGATATTTATTAAAAAATAATTTTTATCTTAAATAAAACTATTAACTGGTGTTTATGTTGTTCTCCTCTATACACCTAACGTTGTTATCCATGTTAGCGTTCCGCTATTAAACTTATATTAGGAACTACTTGCTAATATAATAATAGATTGTTTTATAACTGCATTTACCTCTTATCAACATATTGTTAAATCAAAGTATAAAAAAAAAAAAAAATTTTAAACATTAATTGGTGGGTATGATGACCGGTTTACATCTGCAGTATCGCATTATTGTTAGCGTACGTTAGCATGGGACTTAAATGTGTTATACATATAAATGACAAAGATGGGTCACTCCACGTGAAATCATCTATTGGGTGGGTGACTATACTTCAAAATGTTTGACATTTGAACATACATTTTTTATAGATAAATTAAAAAAAAGGTGTGATTTTTTAAAATAAATACTGAATGCTAACAGTTAAAAAAAAATGTAATAAGTAATAGCGTTTTATATTTTTTATTAAATACATTTTTTAATTATCAAAATTAAAATTAAAACTGAACGGAAAACTTTAAAGAAATAGACTTCAAGTAATGTCCTCATAGTAAAATACTTAAAACTTAATAAAAATAATTATTAATAGATAGTCTTTAATCGCATATCTCTAATTTTTAGCATCCATGTTAAAAGCTTAGTTTAGTCGTTTCATGTGAAATTTTTATTTCTGCCAAGTTAAGGGTTAAAAGACGTCGGTCATTTAAATGTCTCAAGTACTCAATGTAAAAGTGGACTTAAAACAAAGTAGACTTTCTAGGTTTAAAATCTTATGTTATTCGGACGTTAAATATCCTTATTTTAACAAATGTGAACGTTACATTGTATTTTATAGGAAAATTTTAGGCAACTGAATCCAATAAAAATTGCCTTAATAGTAGATCATTATATGTCATGTAAAATCAATAAAATTAATTTCTAAAAATGATGCGTTGTACATTTAATATTAGTAATATTAATACTTGCTGTATAATATCAAAATATATTTGTCTTAAATTAATCTATTATGTTCCATACATGTTGCAGTATTAATTTTCCGTGTAAAGCGACCGATACCTCAAACAATACAAAAACCATGGATTGCAGTTTGAACAAAACTATAGAAAACGATTCTGAGAAAAACATACACAAAATACGTCGGTTTGACTGCAATATATGTCAAAGAAGGTTTACAACCAAAAGTAATATAATCCGGCATATTGCGAAATCGCATTCCAGTACTTCCATTGCAAAGAAAACACCTCAAAAAAATAAAGTCAATCATCGTAACAGCAAAATCAAAGGGTATACTCGAAATAAAGATGGCCTATTTAATTGTGGTATTTGTTTGAAAAGTTGTTCATCAAAATCAAGCCTGAGAAGACATTGGCGCGTTCATACCGGCGAGAAGCCCTTTAAATGCAATATTTGTGAAAAAAAATTTGGTCAGATATCTCACCTCAAAACTCATAAACGCATACACACCGAGAGAAACCTTTAAATGCAATGTCTGTGAAAAAACATTTGGTGTCCAGTCTTCACTCAACACTCATGAAAGAACACATACCGGCGAGAAACCATTTAGATGCGATATCTGTTGAAAAACATACATTCAAAAATCTGATCTCAAGAAACATGAACGTGTACATACCGGCGAGAAACCATTTAAATGCGATGTCTGTAAAAAATGTTTTAATAGACAATGTACCCTCAAAACTCATAAAAGAACACATACCGGCGAAAAACCATTTAAATGCGATGTCTGTCAAAAGTCTTTTGTGACAAATCTAACCTCAGAACTCATAAAAAGATACATAAAGATACCAGCAGGAAGTTATTTAAATGCGATGTCTGTAAAAAATGTTTTAATGGACAATGTACCCTCAAAACTCATGAAAGATCACATACCGGGGTTAAACCCTATAAATGCGATATCTGTATAAAAAGATTTAGTAGACAATCTTACCTCAAAACTCATGAACGCATACACATCGGAGAGAATTCTTTTAAATGCAATGTCTGTGAAAAAACATTTGGTAGACAAGATAACCTAAAAACTCATGAACGCATACACACCGGCGAGAAACCATTTAAATGCGTTATCTGTGAAAAAACATTCAGTCAAAAGTCCTCTCTCATAATTCATGAACGCATACATATTGGTGGGGTACGACACAAATGCTCAGTCTGTGATAAATCATATGTCGCCAAGATGCCCTCAAAAGTCATCAAGCAAAAGCACACGGCTCATAGATTCATAAACCTCACGTGGCTTTTTAGCAGTTTCAAAATAGTTTTTCAAAATCTATTTGTTAATTTTTTTTACTTAGGATTTAATTCAGATTTAATATATTTTTATTCGTTTTCTTATCATCTTTAAATATTTCTATCGTTTAACTGATTATTAACATACACACTTGCACAAAGACATTTAGTGAAACCAATGTGTTTTATACATATTTAGCGTGTACTCAACATGTTATTTAATTTGGCAATTTAGTTTTAACTGTTAAATTGAGTAACTTAAGATTGTACAAACTTTACCAATAGATATCAATGTATTTAGTATTTACATTTAGTATTAGTTGATAGAAACATATGTACCCATATACATTTACTTTTTATTCTTGACTAAAATGAACAAAATGTGCTTAAATCGAAAACTGTGTAAATAAATATTACTTATAAACTGTTATAATTATATAGCATAATATTAATATTATTTAAAAATGATTTCAGAACACTAATTCATAATTAGGGTATTTTCTCGTTTTAAGTATTCTTACATGCTTAATTAAATTAATTATTATTAAATAATAGTTAATGAATTAAACTTATTTTTAAAATGTTATACATTTTTCTGTATTGTTGATTCATTCGTATTTGTTAATTCTTTGGGAGATTATTGAGTTGCTACAGCCTACGGAAAGAAATCGTTTAAGCGTTTTAAAACACACAAAAATATAAGAATGTGAGACCAAATTTTTAAAATCAATACACTCTCAGCTCCGCATAGAAGTTAAAAATATTACTTCTGTTTATTATGCTTTGTGTTGTATTAGCTTTGATGCGATGCTGAAAAACTATTACAATGATATTGACTCAATGCGTTTTTCTAGTTCATCTCTTCTACCTTCTTAATCTAAAATAACTCACTAAAAATTAAAGCATTTTAGCTTCGATGCAAAGCGAGAAGGTATTGGTTTTACTCTGATGTGGGCTTTTTTGTTAGCTGTACGCACTGTAACTTTTTTAATACTAGACCAATTCCTTCGAATAGCAACTCTATAAATCACAAATTTTATCTAGTTTGTACTTTGGGGGGGGGGTAAAAGTTGAGAAAGTTTAATTCTTCACAGACGAAATTTGAAAAAACAAAAAAAAAAAACCGTGCGAGTTTTTAAGTTAGAACTTGAACTCAACTATGAGTTATAAGGTCAAACTACCTGCAAATCATGAAGAGGTCTGTTGTTTTTTGGATTCAGATTAAGTGTTGGGTTTTATGCAGTATACCGCCTTAAAATGTGTTTTTTATTACACAATTTTTTTAAAGGAAAACTAATGTTTTGCATAATATTATACTGTTTTCATTTAAAGAGATTCACGCTTGATTGTTTAAATTGTCTAATATTACATAACCTGCTTCGTGCTAATTTTAATTTTTTAGTTTATAACTTGTAGCTCTAATTTTGTTAAAATATTTCATTATTTTATTACTATGTATAAATTAAGATAAATTTTAATGATAATTAAGTCATAAATGATAATACTTTATTTTATGACTAGATCAAATCTCGTGAACATTTAACATCATGATATCAGCTCCTATGCTTTTATTAAAATAACACAATTTTTAAAATCTCCATAAAAGGTTATTGTTAAATAACAGGCAACACCCGACCGCTAGTGGCTATACACGTTAGTAATATTTAACTAATAAGTAATATGTGTAGGTAAAATTTATTGTTTCCTCCATCACAGTACCAGTATACGATTTATTTTAATTTAAATGTAAGAAAATCGATTTTTCTTTAGAAAATAACAAGATATTAATATACAGGATGAGGCAGTAAAACGGCAATTTTCTAATGTATTTAAATGGGAAACCCCGTTACACTATCCCACCCTTTACATTTTAAGGATCTATGGAAAGATTTTTTCAGTTGCATTTATTTTGTACATTGTGAATCTAGTAAAATAGAAGTATAATATAGCTTTGAAATAATATAATCTATGAAGTATAAATAGTTTGTGTGAGATTGCTCTAATGGAAGTATATAATATATATTATATATAGTATATAAGTATATAGTATAAATATTAATTTTATTGAAAATTTAAAAATTAGACCGAAGGTATGAAGGGATCAAGAATGGAAGTATAGGTACAATTTTTTCAAAATTCTGAGGTCAAGCGTTTATTTTAAAGTGATTATATCACTTTCAGTTGTAACATTTCCTGTAGACCTGTGACATCCCAATCTCTACTATGCCCAACTGTGCTGGCTTTCTTTAACACCTATTTTTGGTTGATATTATTATATTAAATATTAAATTTACAAGTAGGGGCAAGGGCGGATACAAGCGGGTGAATAGGGCAATTGCCTCCCCGTTCACAAAAAAAGTATCAAATATTCCATTTATAATTAATTGTGACTAAAATTTTGTTCATGCAAGTTATCGAGAGAGGGTCGTTATTGTATTTACCATGAACATTTATTTTTTTTTGAAAATTGTCCATTTTTATTTTATTGAAATAGTGTTTACGGCATCCGAAGCGCCACATTTTATCTACAACCGGTTATTTATGGGGTTTGACACAGTACACATACAAAGATATATGATATTACCTGCTATATTCTACGGTTTTGCGATAACACTAGTCACCAAGACGATCTATTTTTAAATTAATATGACGTACTACAATGGCTTTACCGCTCCTCGCTGCTTGCCGCATTAGTTTTGTTTTGACAGTAGTTTAATTTATTTTATAAAACAAATAATATGAAGTTATTATATTATGGTTTAACTTTGACAAGAGCTTAAAAAAAAAAAGTATTGTAGACTAAGTTAAGCTATATTTGTTGGACTCCGTCTCACAAGTCGTGTTTGCGGTGACCAACATAAAATTTTACTAAATCATCTAAAATCAATCAAATCTAAAAAATCATTAGTTTAATAGTTATTTTAGAGCCAAAGCTTTTTTTTTTTAAGTAAGCAAAATGGTGACCTCTGATTATTTACTCGCCGATTTTCAATGAAAAAAGCACTAGTTTATTGTTTATAAAAAATATAAATTTAAATAAAAAAAAACCTTTGATCAGGCACTAGTTTTTTATGCTTTTAATAAGCTGTATAAATTTCATTCAAATCTGTGAAGTGGTTTTTAAATTACAGTGGTCACCGTCTTTGAAGAAATAGTTTCTAGAAAAACTTATTTGAAAAGTTTTTATACTCGATTCATGTATACAAAAATAAATTATTTAATTACTTACATCGAGTTATCTATTCCTTTGATTAACTTAAAATTTTCAGATAATATTTTCAAGACATCATACTTTAAGAAAATACAAATTAAAAAAATCGAATATTTGAAAATCCTGACTACCCCTAACACCTAAGTTTTTCATTCATAATTAAAAGTAGGTGTCTTCTAAAACAATAAAACCCATCACATTCATCAGTATGGCTGATTTCTGTACATATCTAATTTTCATGACGACATATAATAAGACAATTCCTATGCCTAGCTATTCCTATTAATTTATTTTATTCATATATATATATATTGCCCCCCCTGTTTAGGACCTCTGTATCCGCCCTTGGTGGGGCCTAAGTATTCTAACACAATTAGCGAAAAGTGTGTCCATGGCGGATAAAGCCTAAGGTAAACTCATTTATTAATTTTATAGGATGTCGATGAAGGTAAGATTACAATAAGCATGATACAAGAGTTGGGAATTTATTTCTTTGCCTCCTAAATTGCACGACCGTTTACCTCCACGCTACAAACTACCTATGGTATTAGCTTTTTATCTACAAGTCATACTTGTAGTTTTGTGTTATTGATCTAATTAAGATAAATTAAAATTTAGTTTTAAATGTTTAAAAAACACAAAATATACCTATGAACTTGTAATTATGTTGTTCTCCTCTATAAACCCTTCGTTGGTATCGATGTTAGCATTCCGTTATTAAACTTATTATAGGAACTACTTGTTCATATAATAACAGATTGTTTTAAAACTACATCTACCTCTTATAAATATAAAGTTAAATCAAAATATTAAAAAACAAAATTGTATTTAATTAATTTGTAGGTATGATGTCTGCAATATTACATTATGCTAGTGTACGCTCGCACGATACATGCCGTGTTATATTTAATATAAATATATAGAAAACTTTTTTACTATTATTTTTCAACTTATGAATTATGCTGTCCCACTCCATAACCCCATCGTTGGTATCGATGTTAGCGTTTCGCTATCATTAAACTTATTTTAGAAACCACTTATACATATAATACCAGATTGTTTTAAAAACCGCATCTACCTCTTATCAATATAATGTTAAATCAAAGTATCAAAAAAAAAAAAAATAACCATGGATTGCAGTTTAAACAAAACTATAGAAAACGATTCTGAGAAAAACATACACAAAAAACGTCGGTTCGACTGTAATATATGTCAAAAAAGGTTTACAACCAAAAGTTATATAATCCGGCATATTGCGAAATCGCATTTTATTTCTTTGCCTCCTAAATTGCAAGACCGTTTACCTCCACGCTACAAAGTACCTCCATATGTGGCAATCACTTGTTATCACACAAACACACACTATCTGTCCATATAATATCTGCGTTGTCATTCAGTTTGCATTGAAATCACAACTAATGTGGTGATTGTTGGTATCACCACCTACTCTACCGCAGTGAAACGCCGGCAACGCGGTGTCGGTTGGTACCACTACCCACCGTACCCCCACCTGCGCCGGAGAAGCGTAAGGACGATGCCGCAGCCATTTTTGGTCCGCCATTCGATAATCTCACACGACTTCGTCTACACGCTTGGCGTCTTTTTTCCAAGCTGACATTCTGTTAATAACTTTGTGCTGTACACGTTAGGTAAATATACAAGCTGTTATATTTAAATAAATAAAACTGCCAATTTGTTTGCAGTATTGGTGCCACGGGTCCGATTCGTGAACATCTCTAGATTTCAATCATAATAACTTGGTCGAATTCTGCGATAAATACCTTAAGTATTGCGTCGTGTTTCGTTATTTCGTTACAATTGTGTTTTTTCTTGCATGTCAATAATTTATTATAAGTTTTTATTAGCTGCTCTGGAAGGCGGTTTACGGTTCTACATTGTGTGAGTATCTATTGTTTTGTATTTCTAATTTATATACATTATTGCCGTGTTTACTGTCTCCCGCGGGCATAAAACACTGCTTTTGAATAAAAAGAATCATAATTTATTTGGTAGCTTGTTACTTATTGTTCATCCGGAGTTGAGTAGAGTAATATAGGATCAACACAATTTTAAATTAATCTAATCGGCAAAATGGGCAATCGTCTAGCTTTGATCTTTATTGTGTTAGCTTCTTACCTACAATTCATGCTTGTAGCTTTGGGTTATTAATCTTACTTTATTTGTTACTTAATAAAATAGTTTAAATTGTGCAATTTATTTGTCCTATTTAACCTGTATGAATATACGATACAGAAATAACACTTGTGTTAAATGTCAATTATAGAGTTTTGAAGCGGTATAATATGTTGAAAATTAAAGATGAAATTGATGAAACAGAAAAACACTTCTTTGAAACAACTTTTGGCGCCGTTGAAACAAAACCGTTGGATGAGCCGTTTGAAAACAATGAAATATCTACAACAGAGGAGTATTTGGTGAAGAATGAAGTCGACAATACTTATGAGTAAGGCTATTTGTATTAATATTTTGTGTTTACTAAATAAAACAAAAAAGCTTTTGTAATGCTGTAGTCCTCCGTAATTAAAAAAAAAAATTAAATCAATGTCCTTAATAATTTACAAAACAGTATTAATAATATTGTTTAAATAATTATTTTCAGCGTTAAAAAAAGTAAAGAGATATTTAAACTTTCCTTGAGTAACCTAATCCACTTGTCATTACCCTCTTTTATACTTAGCTTGTTTTTTAGCTATTATAGATGATTAGTGTGTATAGTTTTTTAAACATTACATTTTATTTAAAACTTATCGATCAGTCAAAATATTTAGTGAAATATATACTTTATTAAAATATTTGTTTAATTTATTTTAGAAGTTATATAGATAGAATACATGAGTAATTTTGTTTTGTATAATAAAGAATTATTAAAAAATACTTAACAGTCCAATTTATTGATCTAATTAATGATAAAAGCCTAAATACACAATAGAATAATATTTTGGGTTTTGTTAGTTACTGAGTTGATTCGCATTATGATATGTCCAACAATAAACACCAAACTGACAAGTTTGTAAATGAAACACAGTTTAAAACCCAAATATATTCAATTCAGCTGTTAGAATTTGATCATGTAAAAATTTACCACTGAAAAATTGGTTGGTTTTTATTTTCAAAATAATGTGAACTAAATTATTCTTTTTTATTATGTTCAAGCTTCAGGCACTTAGTCAGTAAGCTGTCTGATTAGAGTGATAAGGGATCAACACAATTTTAAATTAATCTAATCGGCAAAATGGGCAATCGTCTAGCTTTGATCTTTATTGTGTTAGCTTCTTACCTGCAATTCATGCTTGTAGCTTTGGGTTATTAATCTTACTTTATTTGTTACTTAATAAAATAGTTTAAATTGTGCAATTTATTTGTCCTATTTAACCTATATGGATATACGATACAGAAATAACACTTGTGTTAAATGTCAATTATAGTTTTGAAGCGGTATAATATGTTGAAAATTAAAGATGAAATTGATGAAACAGAAAAACACTTCTTTGAAACAACTTTTGGAGCCGTTGAAACAAAACCGTTGGATGAGCTGTTTGAAAACAATGAAATATCTACAACAGAGGAGTATTTGGTGAAGAATGAAGTCGACAATACTTATGAGTAAGGCTATTTGTATTAATATTTTGTGTTTACTAAATAAAAACATAAAAGCTTTTGTAATGCTGTAGTCCGCTGTAGTGATTCGCATTATGATATGTCCAACAATAAACACCAAACTGACAAGTTGGTAATTGAAACACAGTATAAAACCCAAATATATTCAATTCAGCTGTTAGAATTTGATCATGTAAAAATTTACCACTGAAAAATTGGTTGGTTTTTATTTTCAAAATAATGTGAACTAAATTATTCTTTTTTATTATGTTCAAGCTTCAGGCACTTAGTCAGTAAGCTGTCTTCTTTGTTATATCATTATTATTACTATATTTGTTACTAAATAAAATAGCTAAAATTGTACAACTTAGTCGTCCTACTAATCCTCTATGCATATATAGCATTTGAAGCGGTTTAATATATTGAAAATTAAACCTGAAAATGATGAAACAAAAGAAGAGTTGTTGGAAAAATCGTTTGAAGTCGTTGAAACTAAACCGCTAGATATGCAGTTCATAAACAATGAAATTTCTACAACAAATAAGTGTTTGGTAAAGAATGAAGTCGACAATAATTATGAGTAAGGTTATTTTTATTACCATTTTTTTTTCTTGAACAAAACTTTAATACTTTTGTAATTATGTTATCTTTCTCCATAAACCCATCATTGGTATTGATGTTAGTGTTTCGCTATTATTAAACTTATAAAAGGAACCACTTGTTCATATAATAATATATTATTTTAAAACCGCATCTACCTCTTATCAATATAATGTTAAATCAAAGCACTTATCTTTTCCTTCTTCTATACTTGTAGCTTGTTTATAGGCTATAATAAAACATTAGGGATTATATTTTTTATATTAATATATACATATATAATACATAAGTAAAGATTAATACCACTTTAAATTTAGTCGGCCAAATGGGCTATTGTCCAGCTTAAATCTTTATGGTATTAGCTTTTTATCTACAAGTCATACTTGTAGTTTTGTGTTATTGATCTAATTAAGATAAATTGAAATTTAGTTATAAATGTTTAAAAAACACAAAATATACCTATGAACTTGTAGTTATGCTGTTCTCCTCTATAAACCCTTCGTTGGTATCGATGTTAGCGTTCCGTTATTAAACTTATTATAGGAACTACTTGTTCATATAATAATAGATTGTTTTAAAACTACATCTACCTCTTATAAATATAAAGTTAAATCAAAATATTAAAAAAAAAAAATTGTATTTGATTAATTTGTGGTATGATGTCTGCAGTATTACATTATGTTAGTGTACGCTCGCACAATACTTACCGTGTTATATTTAATATAAATATATATAAAACTTTTTACTATTATTTTTCAACTTGGAATTTTGCTGTCCCACTCCATCACCCCATCGTTGGTATCGATGTTAGCGTTTCGCTATCATTAAACTTATTTTAGAAACCACTTATGCGTATAATACCAGATTGTTTTAAAACCGCATCTACCTCTTATCAATATAATGTTAAATCAAAGTATCAAAAAAAAAAAAATTGTTATTTATTTGTGGGTATGATGACCGGTCGACATCTGCAGAATCGCATAATGTCAGTTTACGCTTGCCTTTGCATGAGACTTACCGTGTTTATTTATATACACATATAGAAAACATTCATACATTAAAATAGAAAAAAAATGCGAACAGGTGTAATTTTTTAAAATAAACCTTAATGTTAACAGTTATAAAAAAAAAACAATGTATTAAGTAATGGGGTTTGTTTAATTTTTATTAAATACATTTTTTAAATATCAAAAATAAAAATTAAAAGTTGATGGAAAATTTTAATGAAATAGACTATAAGTAATGTCCTTTTAGTAAAATACTTAAAACTTTCAAAATTGTTAAATCGATAAAATTAATTCTTAAAAATGATGGTGTATGATGGATTGTACATTTAATATTAGTAATATTAATGCTTGCTGCATAACATCAAAATATATTTGTCTTAATTTAATCTGTTTTGTTTCAAACGTGTTGCAGTATTTATTTTTCGTGTAAAGCGACCGATACCTCAAATCACACAAAAACTATAGATTGCAATTTTATTGAAACTATAAAAAACAATTCTAAGAGAAATATGTACAAAAAACGTCGGTTCGACTGCAATATATGTCAAAGGAGGCTTACAACCAAAAGTAGTATAATCCCACATATTGCGAACTCGCATTCGAGTACTTCCACTGGAAAGAAAACACCTCTTAAAAATAAAGTCACTCATCGTAACAGGAAAATCAAAGGAAATACTCTAAACAAAGATGGCTTATTTAATTGTGGTATTTGTTTGAGAACTTTTTCATTAAAATCAAGCCTGAGAAGACATTGGCGCGTTCATACCGAAGAGAAACCCTTTAAATGCGATATCTGTGAAAAAACATTTGGTAGACAATCTTACCTCAAAACTCATGAACGCATACATACTGGTGAAAAACCTTTCAAATGCGATGTGTGTGAAAAAACATTTATTCAACAAATTAGTCTCAAGAACCATGCACTTGTACATTCCGGCGAGAAACCATTTAAATGCGTTATCTGTCAAAAAACATTCAATCAACATTCTAATCTCAAGAAACATGTACGTATACATAACGGCGAGAAACCATTTAAATGCGATGTCTGTAAAAAGTCTTTTGTGACCTATCTAACCTCAAAGTTCATGAAAGAACACATACCGGCGAGAAACCATTTAAATGCGATGTCTGTAAAAAGTCTTTTTGTGACCTATCTAACCTCAAAGTTCATGAAAGAACACATACCGGCGAGAAACCATTTAAATGCGATGTCTGTGAAAAAACATTCAGTTTAAAGTCCTCTCTCATAACTCATGAACGCATACATATTGGTGGGGTACGACACAAATGCTCAGTCTGTGATAAATCATATGGTCGCCAAGATTCCCTCAAAAGTCATCAAGCAAAAGCACACGGCTCATAGATTCATAAACCTCACGTGGCTATTCGGCAGTTTCAAAATAGTTTTTCAAAATCTATTTGTTTATTTTTTTTACTTAGGATTTAATTCAGATCTAATATATTTTTATTCGTTTTCTTATCATTTTTAAATATTTCTATCGTTTAACTGATTATTAACATACACACTTGCACAAAGACATTTAGTGAAACCAATGTGTTTTATACATGTTTAGTGTGTACTCAACATGTTATTTAATTTGGCAATTTAGTTTTACTGTTAAATTGAGTAACTTAAGATTGTACAAACTTTACCAATAGATATCAATGTATTTAGTATTTACATTTAGTGTTAGTTTGTAGAAACGTATTTACCCATATAAATTTACTTTTTATTCTTGACTAAAATGAACAAACATGTGCTTAAATCGAAAACTGTGTAGATAATTATTACCTATATACTGTTATAATTATATAGCATAATATTAATATTATTCGAAAATTGTTTCAGAACACTTCTGCATAATTAGGATATTTTCTCGTTTAAGTATTCTTACATGCTTAATTAAATTAATTATTATTAAATAATAGTTAATGAATTAAACTTATTTTTAAAATGTTATACATTTTTCTGTATTGTTGATTCATTCGTATTTGTTAATTCTTTTGGAGATTAATGAGTTGCTACAGCCTACGGAAAGAAATCGTTTAAGCGTTTTAAAACACACAAAAATATAAGAATGTGATGGTATCAATATAAGCGTTTCGCTAACATTAAACTTATATTAGGAACCATTTGTTCATTTAATAATAGATTGATTGATTTAAAACTACATCTACCTCTTATCCATATAGAGATCCATTAAAATATTAAAAAAAACAAATTTGTAAACATTTTATT